ATCACTGCATAACTTCTCTGAAACAACTGATGCTATTCTAAAATTTACTACTCCTTCAAGCACAAATTGCTGCATATTTCAGGCACTTCAAACAAACCAACATATCCACCGATGAGAAATAGCAATAACTACAGCACATGAGCAGGCAGAGGTTAGGGGATCTGCATATCTGCTACTTACAAGCATTAAATCTTCGAAAGCTGCCCAAATGTCGCTGTTTCTACAGTAATACATTACAACAGAAGCTAGCAAATATAGGAATTTACCTCCTTCGTCTTTTTCATCGTATGGATGTAACAAATTGTTCAATCGCTCCTGCTGAAATGAATCTATTCAGATACATCAAAATTTACAAAAGAGAAGAAAATAAAATTTCGGACTTTTACATGCAAGCTCAAAAAATTCAGGAAAGCTAATCCAAAATGTTCTTATCAAAAAAAGTGACAGCAAAAGTATATTACAGAGAAGAAAAGGATGGGATAGGGAAGTAAATTAACTGAGAAAATAAGGACTGCAACAATGTACGGTAGCAACTGACGTCTGCAGACTGCAGTTCAGCTTTCGTGCCATTATCTTTTAGCAGCTGCAGCTAATCAAAGCTCGGGAAAATTCAAATATGATGTGTTTTTGAAACGAGAGTACTCAAATAATGCCAAAAACGATGCGTGCTGCACCGCAAAGTAGCCTGTGCTGTAGCTGCTGTGTCTAATTTTAATTTTCCTTTATGCACTGAGTGCTTTATTTTCATCAGATGGAAGGGACTGTAGGGAAATAAGTGAAATTAAGGAATTTCACGTTAAAAAGCTTTATCGTCATTACTAGCGCTTCACTGGTCTAAAACAAACAGCTAAAAACAAAAGACCCAAAATTGAAGTGTTAGTGGTCATAAATGGCTGAATTTTAGCAGAACCTCCTCCTGTGCCCCACAACGAAGAGAGATATCTGCACCTGCTTCGTTTCAGCCAAATACTTTGCAAAATCATAAACTAAATACAACTAAGCCGGTAGGCGAGCACGAAAGAATGCTGCTGCCTGTCTTCTTTTCCATATTTTATCTCATAGACTTGAAATTCCTCCTAGTCCTGCGAAAAAATCCAAAAAAAAAGAGGACCTGACTGAAGAGTTCACTGTCATCATATGCACGATTGCGCACCATCAACTTCGTTTCTTGCTGAAAAACAAACATAACAGCCTTACACATCGAATGTATTATTACAATGAGTTTCTGTAAACGTAAAATGGTTAGAAAAATACACAAAAAGGCATTTTTACCACACTGTCGGATACAAGAAATTTTATACTGTAGCCTGTTCTGCACATAGACTATAAATTTAGCTTGAGTTTGGGTTTGAATTCACGAAAACAAAAAGGCAGCAAGTTAATTTCATTGGTTAATCACTTTATATCTTGCACTGAATTACAGTTACGAAAGTATAGAACTGTTTAAATTGGTCCCTTCTGAAATCAGTCTAAATCACAGAGAAGCTTGAAAGCTGACATCAAGCTATTTGCTATGTATCTAGGCACCGCTTCTAAAAATTTGAAGCCAGCAACTTTCAATTAAAACGCATTAAAAGGTCTAGGAAACGAAATAGCTTTAGTGAATTTTGTCGATGTATTTTAGTGCAACAGCACCATCGAACTTCAATTTCAGTGACATATTTTTCTTTATCCCTTTTTCTCTTTTTTCATTACCGTTATAAAAGAAGCTGTAGGTAGTTGAAATTTTTGGACAACCGAAATGAAGCGAATTACCCGAGCTCGTTTCGTCTTCCGTCGATTGAGTGAAACTCTTGTTTCCAGTTCATTATAATACACAGCACCGTCACGAAATGAAAACAAGAAAATGTCCTGCTCATAGCCTTTGGTTGATTTGTTCCTTACTAACCAGTTGTAATCTCGAACCGAATTATATTCGTACCTGGAAAGAGCAAATCACAGAAATCGTTCGCGCTAAATATATTCGTTTGCTGTAATTGTCATCGTTGGCTAAAGTTTGTTTTACTGTAATTATCATGCTTGAGGAATCGAAGATTATTCTCTAGTTCAGAACTCTGGTAAGGACCACGTCAGAGGAGAGAATGTTGCAGACTGCGAAGGAAGAATCCCGTAAGAGAGGAAACTGATTCGCACCGATAAAGTGGTAATTTCGCCGGGTGAAATGGCAGTTACTAAAACTCGGGTCGGCGCGAAACAGCGCAAGAGAAAACGTTAGAAAATAACGGCCGAGGCGAGCCGAGTTTTAACAACTGCTGCTGAAATGAGTCATTGTCCAGCGCTGGAATAAGTAAAATGTTAATGGTAGTAACCCTTTAAAACGAAGTACTATTCGACTAACCGGTCTGATGTAATTTTTTCGTTTTTCATACAAAAGCGAAAATCGCTAACCCAATCGGTCCACCGTTTTTACAGATATTTGTGCAGTGTCCGTTACAATCATACAGGAAAGTTGGAGCAGCTGCTTCACCCCAGTAACATCGAATGATACTTTATTTTAGTAACACTGAAGGCCGTTTTCAGCTCAGCAGTACGAAGGGCTGCACACTAATCATCTACTCAACTTGGCTGATGGCGATTTTGACGATAAACTATTAGTCGCTTAAAATCAACGAGACAAAAACAACGGCTTACTCATAAGTGGGATCGTATTCAAGTCCTTCTTCGGTATCTCTTATACGCTTTTCCAAGGTT